AAAAACTGACTCGGATTTGCCTTATTAACTGGTACCCCGCATAATTTATAGAAAGAAATATATGGGTCATACAGAGAAGATTTTAACTCGGATTTTGTAAAAATAAGATCAGAAATCGGGAGGACGACAGAAATTAGATAAATCTTCCGTCCTGTGAACTGATTCAAAAATTGCAAACGTTGCTAAGAAAATGGGACATCAAAATGATGACAAAAAAATGTCAACGCTCTTCATCAGCCTGACGAGATGGTTGACAAACTGGATCTATCGGGGCTCTATAGCATCAAATGCGGTAACCGTGAGCAGAAGTATATTGGTGAAACAGGAACAAAAAATCAGCCTTCAGATCAAGAAACACCAAAGACTGCAGAAACATGTACACTGAAAGATCCGAAATAGCGGGAACACATCGCACGAACGGGTGGAAATACAAGAAAAAGTAAGATACAAGAAGCCATTGATATTCTGACTGAAAGAAAGCTATTGAACAGCAGACTTAAAAAAGACAAGATTTGCGAAAACTTTGCATACTGCCTAAACAAACTCAGAAAATATCAGCAAAATGAAGACGACTGGACGAAGGTAATACTTTTTTATTTTAGGAAAAGAAATACAAGGAGACCAGAGTAGAACAATCAGAAGACTTCTACAGTGAGCCTATACAAATCAAGTAAAATCATCATATTTGGGGTTGGCGCCTTTTAGAATGTCATAAAATGACAATTTCTAGTTGACTATTAGTACATAAGTTTGCTCATAGACGTGGTCCATGTAGAAAGCCTTGACCATGAGATTTACTCAGTGCATATGCAGCGCAGCGATAAGGGAATCTTCAGCATCGAGTTGGGTTGCCATGCCAAATTGGAATTAAGACTTAAGGGGCTTGCTCAGTAAGGCTGACGTATACGTGCCAGTAAAGGCTTGAGGCAGAGTGTAGAACAACGCTTTGAGTAGCATGGATACTGTGGCAGCGATGGGGTGAAATCAGTGAAACAGGCAGATTAGGGAAGGGTCCTACGGAGCAAGAGGGGACTCTGATAGCAACCGGAGAGAGATCGGCACTCGCGGCATAGTGGGAGGAATGTGGAAGCCAGCGGAAAGTGTGAATACATTTCAAATAGGTTTTAATAAACAAGTATGAAATTGTGATATTCAAGAGGTCATACGAGGATATATGAAAGGTGAATAACCCAGGACAGAAGGAGGATACAACAACTGTTTAGCGCACATTTGGACAAAGGATAATGTTTCACTTGTCTCTTTGACGAGTTGTAGTGTGGTGCTAAGAATGGCAAAACTCACTGACGATGCCGGCGAAAAGTTTGGGAATGTGCCAAGTCTACGGTCCGACTCTGTAAATTATCATGCATACTATGGACCCAGAACAAGGTGCGTTACTCTAGGTCGCCGTGCCGATATGACCAATTTGCAGGAAACATGTTCAAACAACTTACAATTAATGATGTTGTGAAGTAAGCTTTTTTGGTTTATGAAGACAATAATAGTCGCCCTTTTATTTAACTACGGTAACGATCAGGGTATAAGGAGAATATATTTAATTGTACGTATATATATATCTATATATATATACTTGTTAAATCTTAATAAATCGTGACGAATTTTAAATTCCACTCAAGCACTTGGTTTTGCCTATTAATTAAATTTTACAAAAATTAAGCTTTGCGTGATTTAATCGCTTAGCATATGTCCTCACATTTATACACTTATAAATATGATTCGCATTAAACTTCTAATTAAATCTACCGAATGACAAGAACGAAAAATATATTTCAACATCTTATAGTTATTTGCATAAGAAAGGCAATTTTTTCATTCTTTTCACTTAGCACTTTTGCATAGTAAATATGATGTATCATGATCGAGTACCTTATATTTTCATGATTTAATTAGAAATGACAGAATAATCCATAATTGAATACTTTTAAAGATAGTTATTAAACTCACTATGTTCTTTTTCTGTATTTAATAGAAACATGTTTCCACAAAACATAATTCAATCATGTCTGCAGCAGCAGCAGAGCGTCTTTGTTAACAAGACACGCCGTTTGAAGAAGTGGGAGATTGACATGCCTACCGAGTTGGAAGAGGAAGTAACTGAAGTGGTTTCTTTGGTGACGGCGGCAATAGTCCCAACTACAAACCTTGCCCCACCCCGGATAAGCTATGAGGCCGTTAAAGCAGAATATGTGGAAAGCACCAATGTACTTGGTATGCAATAAGTGGAAATTATGTAACATCATACTCCACCCATATTCCCAATATTAGGGGCTGTCAAAGGGGTACCCATACATAAATCAGAAAAAAAGGTTTAAAGAATATTTGTGAAGTTAAAGCATATAAAATGTTTCATAAATATGATTAACTCTAGTTAATTGCATTATATGATGCCGAACTAATCTGACTATAAAGAAGAAATTTTAACTTACTAGCTACTTAAATCTTATGAGTAGTATAAAATAGCCTAACCTATGAAGTAAACCGCATCTTCTCATGTTGATGGTGTCATATAATTACAAACCACTTAGAGTAAGTTGCATTAAATTATTTGCATGTCGATTCATATAACCAATATGAAGATAATAGCGAGTACTAAAGGTATCATAATATCTGGTTCTCAAAAGAGACCATTAGATACACAAAGCTTAGGAAGCGAGCAAAATTAACCAATTGCCTGATAAATCCGAGGTAAACAACTATATATTTATGCCAATCAAAAAAGGATAATTAGTTTTGTGACAGTATAAAAGATTGGACAGGATGATAGAAAAGTAATAACTTTTTATTAAGTGTATTTTAATATTCTAAGGTAGACATGTAATAGCAATACTCTTATAGTCAAAATTTGTTGTGAAGTCTTTCATTTCGTATGATAGTACAAGATGAAGAGATTCAGAGATCACTCTCTACAAAAGACGGGGACTGAGCTTGCTTGAATAGCAGCAAATTGGCCTTAATAGGACGCACAGGTTGATGCCGTCTACGAGACATCCTCCAACCTTTCGGATGAAGACAGGCTGAGATTTCGTTCGTCATGTGTCAGACATCGTCGGAGCTGGGACTCATTCTTGCAAAAGACTCAAGCTAAGCCTAATTCAAGAAGACTTATTGGCTTTTTTCTATATGGTACATATACTCATTATAAGACAAATTTAAAATATAAATAAAGATAGGAAGGTCTGGTTCATTCACGTATACTCGAGTTTGTCTGTGCATGTAGGCATGTTAACGTATGTAGGTAAATCAGCCATAACCCAGAGTAATTAGAAAATAGCTTAACATCAGCACCGAGTCACGAAGGCTTAAAGTCCCAAGAAAATGCATGACCGAGATGGCGTTGGTGCATGAGTAACCCTGGTTTAAATGGTAAGATGTAAGCCGGTATGCATAAAGAACAGCTTACAAAATCACCAGTTCGAACCCGTTCTTCTGGGCTATTAAGGTTTAATGGGACAAGGAGAAACATGACTGGGATTGAATAGTCATGCACGTTCGTTTTGGTTGATGCGCTTGACATGCCAGTCGAATGAGCGTGAATTTGTGTTGTAACCACCAATTGGCTGATAAGTTGGGTCGGCTTCTTTTGGATGGCGGCTCAACAGCTCATCTCCTTCTACGCCATATCCATTCTCCGCACTGTGCTTAGCCATTTCTGACCGTTCGACCCAGCTTTATTAACAAGCATTTTTGTGCTCCGCTAGTCTTTGGGGGATCGGCCGACAGGTATCATCAGCACAAGGTCAATCACATAATCAGATACTCTTGTAAGAGACGGATCGTGATCGTTGGTCATGTTTCACTAAAGGAAGGCATAACCGAAGAATGTCTGTTCCGTTGAAAACTGTCTTTATCCCCCGTTTCCTCACTAGCTTTTCTAACTTCTTAGAAGAAAAGCAAGACGACAAGATTGGAACATTAGGCTTAGTTATAAATCTAAGGTTGGAAATTTAACATTTATAAGCATTAGGATTGTAAGGCTAGTGGACAAAAATCATCAGAGCGAAGTGGGAAGAGGATTGAAAGATGTATTCATGAAGAATTATTATCCTTTGGGCTTATTTGAAAATAATTTTTATTTAATAAGAAATAAATTTTCAGGAGACGATAGGGTCAGAGATAGGCAAGCCCAGCATCTTTCTATTTTTTTAATCTTACCGTCTTGTTTTACTTCTAAGAAGGTAGAAGAGGTAGTGAGGAAGTAAGGGGTGAAGACAGTTTTCAGCGTAACTGACATTTTTCGGTTATGCTATCTTTTAATAAAATATCACCAACAAACACGATCCGTCTCTTACAAGAGTATCTGACGCTGTGGTCGACCTTACGCTGATGATGCCTGTCGGCCGATCCACCAACGATTAACGGAGCACAAAAATGCTTGTCAATAAAGCTAGGTCTAACGGTCAGAAATGGCTGATCAGAGTGCGGAGAATGGATATGGTGTAGAAGGAGATGAGCTATTGAGCCACCATCCAAAAGAAGCCGACCCAACTTATCAGCCAATTGGTGGTTACAACACAATTTCACTTTCGTTCAACTGGCATGTCAAGCGCATCAATTAAAACGAACGGGCATGACTACTCAATCCCAGTCATGTTTCTCCTTGTCCCATTTAACCTTAATAGCCCAGACGAACGGGTTCGAACTGGTGATTTTGTAACCAGGGTTACTCACGCACAAATGCGATCTCGGTCATACAATTTCTTGGGCCTTTAAGCTTTCCTGACTCGGTGCTGATGTTAAGCTGTTTTCTAATTACTCTGGGTTATGGCCAGTATACGTACATACGTTAACATGCCTACACACACAGACAAACTCGAATATACGTGAATGAACCAAACCTTCCTATCTCTATTTATATTTTAAATTTGTCTTATAATGAGTATATGTACCATATAGAAAAAAGCCGGTAAGTCTTCTTGAATCAGACTTAACTTGAGTCTTTTGCAAGAATGAGTCCCAGCTCCGGCGATGTCTGACACATGACGAACAAAATCTCAGACTGTCTTCATCCGAAAGGTTGGAGGATGTCTCGTAGACGGCATCAACCTATGCGTCCTATTAAGGCAAATTTGCTTCAACTCAAACCGATTCAGTCCGCGTCTTGTGTAGAGAGTGATATCTGAATCGCTTCATCTTGTAATTTCATATTAAATGAAGCTCTTCGCAATATTTTTCTCTCAGAAGATTCTTCAAAACTTTTATTTTATTTCTATTCCTTTTATTTGCTTCCTATAATCTTCTTTCTACTCCATGAGAATCTAAATTTAAGCTATTCTTATATGTTCCTGATAAAATTTATGACCATATTCTATACCAGCTTCATTGACAATAGCCTTATTTTTTAATACGGAACGTTGTATTAGATTTTCCAAATATTTCGATCTATTTCCATTTCTCTTGTTCTTTCCTGATTCATGCGTAATAAAAAAAATATGACATACAAGCAATCTGTAAATTAGACAATTTATCATGCATAATTGTTACTCTAATGCAAGGTAAAAGCCCTGAGTTTATTACTAATTTTAGAATTTCAAATTGAAAAACCCTCTAATTATTAAATACTAGCCTCAGAATTTATTCTAACCAGGCATTGCTCATCATATGTTTTAAGTTTCCGATTATACTTTTATCATCACTTGGCTTATAATATTATTAGTGTGATTGATTGTGTTCGTGAGTAGTAATAATCTAAATTCGAATTACTTTGGTTGTCTGATCATGTTATTTTACTTATAGGTTTGGTTACTTTCTCAATATGCTTCGGTTTGATATTGGGCCAGATGGGAGAGAAAGCAATTGTAATGGTTCAACTATTTACGATTCTCAATGAAGTCGTCATGCGAATGGTTCAGATCATCATGTGGTAAGCAGACTCGCAACTATAATGTTTAGTAAAATAATGAAATGTAATAGGTATTTTGGCCTTATTTCATGCCTTAATCTATTTTATGTCGCTGAAAATATGCCAGAAATAAAATGAGTTCGGCAAATTACCCATTTCAATCATTTTAGCCAAGGTTTTTGTATGGAAATTATTAAAGGACACGTTTCCTCTTTACCACACTTAAGATTTGAGCCTCTTCCTGGGTTATCTTAATCAAACTCGTCCCCCAAGCTAATGGATGTCACCTCTTTACTACCAAACCAACGTTTTGATAAAATATTAACCTCAGAATAAGTTAAGTCACGAAACCATATGACCTTTACGCATTGAAGACATTGAGTTGATTCGAAAATGCTTCTAATTTATTGCACTAAGCTATAGAGATACCCTTCGGGACATATCATCACCCGAATATTATGTTGCCACACCCTCTCATATTATAATTCTCTCAACCAAATAGACCTTCTCTAGTAACTAGCAAATGAATATCCTGAACCCAATCACGTATTTTTATGTCATAATTTACTTAAATTTAGCATAAGAGCCTTGATACTCGTTCAGGCAAGACTGTTTCGAACTAGATAGGCTAAATAAAACTGGCATCTACAGAGGGCCTCCGTTAGATGTTGTTAGTGTAAAAAAATGAATTCGTGAATTACATGTTCTTTCATTAGTAGCTTTCCTCATATGTTCATTCTTATAAAGATATCCGATCTGAATACAAAATATAAATGCTAAGAGAAAGAACATATTAAAAATCATTTCTTCCTTTCTTGGAAGAGGAAGGCATTTCTATGCATCTGGACAATCCAAAACACAAGTCCTGCGCCGATTTAACTACTAGTTTGAGCCACTTCATACATAATTATGTCTTTTGCCAGTCTCACACTTCCTAATCGCAAGTATATATGATATGCTTCAGCAGACGGCTTAAAAGTTTTATCTTATTGAGCCAGAAAATGTTAAGACCATCTTTGCTGTAAGCAACAAAGTTGGTGAAAGTAGTAAGGTTATCTTTGCAAGAGTAGACGGGATTTCTGAATAGTGAAGTTAGCCATGTTATTCTGCACTTTACTTGGCTTTTCACAAAATAAATAGCCGAGGCTGGTCAATAGGATCATCAACAGGCATAAATCTACCTTCCACTTCCTCCTTATTCCAGATGTGACAATTGTTGCCATGCAAAATGGATTTATGCATATACAAAGGATCTTATTTTGGTAAGGTTATATATTGAGTAAACTAAATTAGAACCATAGTTGACTGAATGCCTCTGGTTAGTTTATTTTTACCTCAAGTTTCTTTCTTAACTCACTTGCCCTGGTTCTCTGTTTATAT